TTTGCTCTTCTCTGTAGTTTGTGTAAATGTTACTTTGTCACTTGTTTGTTCATCAGTTTCCTTTTTTGAGTTCAGCATGTTTCTAGTCTTGTTTTAGTCTCTGTGTTCTTTGCTTTTGTTTTTGTTAGCAAGTCACTTATGTTTCTTTGTTATGTTTCATTTTGTAACATTGTTCCATGTGTGTTTCAGTTAACTATTTTTAGTTTGTAGTTGTCTGCCCTAGTCTTGCGGTGCCTGTCTCTGATTGTTGTAGGATTGTCACCTGTGTGTATTAGCTTCTTCCTCACCTGTGTATTTAAGTGTTGTCTGTCGTTCAGTTGTTGCCAGATTGTTGTGGATTGTGTGTGTTACCAGTATTTCTTGTGCCTCTTGTGGATTTATACTTTTGTTGGACCTTTGGATTTCTCTGCCCTGTGTGTTTTGGATTAAGTGTCTGCGTTGGGGTCCACAGCCTCTGTCTCCTGCCGGCTGAATGTACAGATGTTGCACTATGCTGAGACACGCAGTAAATGAGTCATATAATATCTGATCAAAAGCAGCGCAGTTGCAGCATTTAGTGATTTTGCAATACGATTATTGCCTAGTTGAATTTTAACAAGTCAGACCTTGTTCCTTTAATAAGCTACAAAAAAATCATTATTCCCTAAACCGGTGCTTGCCAAAAACTGCTCTGTTCCCAACCATAATCCATGAATGGGCCCTTTACCCAATGTCAATGTGCCTTTAAGGCAGGTAAAGGCTCCATAGAACAGCTTCTTTACTACAACAACTCCATCCATCGTCAACCGCTTATCCTGTGTACAGGCGGGGGGGCTGGAGCCAATCCCAGCTGACATCAGGTGCAAGGAGTGGTACACCCTGGACAGGTCGCCAGTCCATCGCAGGTTACTTAATCCCATCATTCCTATTAATGAACTGTATCTGTCTGTGTGTCATTGTTTGTAACTGTCTGTAGTTAACAGAGTATTTTGTGAAGTATGTCTATCTTGACAAACGTACTCTTCGGTGGTTCAGTCCACGCCGGGATGGTCTACCCCCAGATGGAAATCAGAGATAAACAGGAACAGATAAGGTAAACACACACTTCTGCACTGTTGAGTTAAACTCATATAAACTACTGAAATAACGAAAGGAGAAGGCCATACATTATGAAGAAAAGTAAATGATGCCAGGCAGAACAATGCCAGCTGAGCTATTACAAGAATGGAGGAAACAAAACTATAGAGAAGTGGCAAAGGTGGAAACGTTCTGTAGGCCGGCGGCAAAGGAGGGCCCAGGTGTCAAAGGATCAGGTTAGGTGGTTTGAGTAAGAATAAGACAAGACTTCAGTGAGAGTTTCCTCTGTGTTCCCTAGCAGATGGACTGTGACATTCCTTTTGTTACTGGTTCCCTTCTGTTACTTTCTCTTTCACTTCTTGATCATACAAACACTGTAACAGAAGTACTTGAGATCAAAGATAATCTGATCACTGTGCCTTAATTTGTGTGCCCACACCTTGTAGCCTAAAACAGTGCAAACAAAATGAAGACAAATTGTGTTGAGTGGAACATCTAAAGCTTTTTCACTATCACTGTTGAGACAGTTGTGGGAAAAGCCCTCAGACTTGGTCCAGAGGCCTAACGGCCCTCTCTCTCACACTTCGTGCTCTTGTATGTAACTTACACCTACATGAAGTGTGGTCCTTTTGTTGTAATGGCAATCTTTTTAATAAGACACAGCAAATAAACTAATATATTAAATCCATATATGTATGGACTCCTTAAACTCCGTATTCCATTGGTTAATAGGTCCTGTCTCGCTCCTCCTTTTCCACCTCCACATCCACACATATTCAATATGCAAACAGTAGTATAAAACCCTAAACACATTTAAATACATAAATAAGACAAAAGAGATCAACACAGTACGTGTCTGCAGTCCACTTGCAAGGCCCATTCTATTCATGTGTCTAGTCTTGTATTTTATCAGGCCTGAGTGCAGCTGCTAGCAACAATTTGTTAAAATCCATGAAGGCTTTTATTTAAAAGTATTTATTTTTACTTTTGGCCGCCATCAAAGCGCCATATCTGGCCAGATATTATTGCTGGTGGGCAGTTTTGGCGATGGTCCATAATCACAGAACTAACATGTTTCCTTTGTCAATGTTTGTATAAACTTTATTTAATGTGTGGTTATAATGAACTGTGGTGCAGAAACTGTGACAGTGTTTCACACTCTTGGCTTACATTTTCCATGTTATCTGTCAGTGGCCAAGTCACAATAACATATGGTTTTATTGAATAATTAAGTAAATATAATTTCTTAATAAATCTACCTAAAGAAACCTCATTTTTGACTGGCCACTCTCTGCTGTCTCAGATGAGACACCTTTTATTCTGTGTAAGACACCGTCGTTGCAATTCTGAACCTCGCAGCTTGATTCCACTAAATCTTACACACTGAACCTTTAAATGAATAACCACATTTTCTCTGTTTAGGTTTGCCGCCAAATACATAGTGGGTTTTTTGGAAGTAAAGAAAATGATTGACAAGTGAGTACTGAGCTTAAAATGTTCTCCTTTTCCCAGACACATAAGATCTTTATCATTCTAACAGGTTCATTAATTTCAATGTCATGATTTATTGTTTCACAAAATACAGAAATACTGTAAATACAACAAAAGCTAAACACTGTATTTGTTTTTCACCTACAAAAATTAAATGCCACAGGAAGCAGATAAATTAAATGTATTAACATTATAACTGTCAGAGGTTTAAACTGCTGCCTGAAATTAATGACATGTTGATGTTGTCGTCTTAAGTCATTTTGACAAGGATATAAAATCAGTTCCCTGAAGAATTTGAATAGGGTTTATTTCCACTTAAGGTATTTGTAGAAGTTTAATCAAGTTCAGACATTTGCTTTAACTTTCATTTTCATGTGGATCAGTTCTAATCTATGTATTTTGCATGAAATCTATATGTAAAATCATTATGAAACAAAAAGAAATAGCTACACCTAAATAGACTGTATGCACCTTATGTAAAGCCAATTATCCCGTATCCGTTTGCTTTCATTCAAACTTTCTTTCATATATAAAGGTAAGCTGTGAGCTCAAAGTAGTTATAACATTTAGTGAATTTGACAATTTCAGTGACATCAGTAACATTTGTATATGATATTGGTTGGCTGAGTAAGTATTTAATGTATTTTTGCAGTGATGCTCTACCAGTTGAGTACATGAAAGGGAAGCCGCAGTGTATGAAGCAGTATGAGCAGATGATCATCCTGCCGGATCCCTGGTCTGAAGGAGGATTCATTGGTGTTCTATGGCAGGAGCTCCAACCCCCCCAAACACATCACTGTAGTACACAACAATCAGGTGAGCAGCACCACATCACTGGTCCAAGTCAAGCATTTGTGTCTGAGCTTTGTGAGACCAACGCTCATATTTATAACTCCTAATAATTACACTTAATTACTACATTTGGCTAAAAGTGGAATTAGGGTGGGTTGATGAGGCACCAAATCACCTGCTGATCTCACGCTCTTACCCTTA